AAGCAGTTAAAAGGAGAATGGCCGAACGATCGCATGCACGCATGATCTAATTAACTTGGCAGTGAGCGACTTAACGAGGACGTTAAGCGTTGCAATATGGCCGAATGTTAGAAATGCACGTGCCCTTTTGTAGAAAGTGTGAAAGAAGACGCCGACGTGACGGCGAGGGACGCTCGTGAAGTTTGGCCTGGGTGGCATTGTGTAGCCTTTTACGTCTTGTGCGCTTCAAAGAGACCAAAAAAGCTAGCTAGCGCGCGCGCGTGTGTGCGTGCGTGCGTGCGTGCGCGCGCGCGCGTGTGTGTGTGTGTGTGTGTGTGTGTGTGTGTGTGTGTGTGTGTATGTGTGTATGTGTGTGATGTTCTTAGCACCCGTTTGTTGTTCCCTGACCCACTTTGCTCTCTTCCTGTCTTTTAAGGTTAAACCTGCCATTCTCCTTTCCATCGCTCCCTACGTCATTCTCCACTTAAGTTTAAACCTCTTCGTAGGCCTCCAGGTATCTGCTCCTTAGGTAAGTATTGGTAAGATGCAGCTGTTGTATCCTCTTGAGGGACAGTGGTAGACTGCTATTCATGACATGAGCTTGCTTGCCGCATGTCCGCGGTTATACTTACTGTCCTAAGTAGATGTATTCCTCGCTACGCTATATGATTACGCTAAAAAATGCATCGTATTCAATATGCGGTTATCCCAAGTATAATGTATGCAATCGCTTAACCTTCTCACGTACGACAACTAGAGTAAAATGTGCATGTGGAAATTGTCCGCCGTCCTGAAAGAATGCCGACTCAGCTTTTAATTTGTAAGCCAACGAAAGACGTCCGCATTTCTTGCTGGTGATGGATCACTTCCAGTTTGATGGCAGCCCCTTCGTGCGCCGGGCGGATACGTTCGGTCGCAGCTCAAGGATTATGCGCGCGTGTGGTCTCCGGCCACGCTCGCGTGCGCGTCTCAGACGCGTCAATGCGGGGCAACACGCGGTGTCTCGCAGTTACGTGCACCGCCTCGACCGAACACGAAATTTCCCGCCGCACTTCACAGCCAATGCATAACAAGCCCGCACATCATTTGACACTCTGGAACATCAATGCAACTGTACCCGTTGCCTGGTACGGGTATTCAAAAAACCGTATAGTTTGTCGAACGGCTCTATGCAATCAGGTTCAACATTAGATAACTTAATTTCTGCGAGCGCAACGGCCCAGCAGCTTCCATGGCACGTGAAGAATAGATGCATTTTCGCAATCACGGTCGACTCTTTTTTTTAGTTCATCTTACAAAATGTCTGTAGCAAAGGATAAATATTCAATTGCCAGCAATAAGAGCTCGTCTTCGTCGTCCTACACGTGCCACTAGTTGAACTAGCCTAAACACACGTCACCGGAAAAGCTCGGCTTCTCTTATGCTCTCATGTGTTTGGCGTTGACAGAAATCTATAGACAATATTGGTTATTACAGCTTATTGCTTCGCCACAAGATGGAGCGAAGCAGCACTTAAAGGCAGAGAGCCTACATGACCGTTTCAGGGTGTAAACATCTTAACAAGCGCCTTCAGGAAACTCAGCCTAAATCAGCGGGTAAAGCAGCTTCCACCAAGTTTAGCATGTTTTTTTCTATGCGCCGACATTATGGGGCCTGCCGCTGCTCCCGTCTGCTACGCGAAGCACTCTGGTCTCCGTACGGACGGCTCCGCAATGCGTCAGCGCAGTAACGACAACTTCGATTATCTGTCGACAGGCAGCACCCGGGATTCAGGCAGCGGTGATTGTCAAAGCGAGCGCACCACTAAACTCGTAGTCCACACGCAAATTCTTGCGGCATAACGCTGCGCGACGGCGAGCAAGGGAGGCAACAGCTGACGACTTTCTCCGTATACGGACGCGCCTCGCATGCAGGCTTCCTACTCGCAACGCCTTCGATTATCTATGCATTCGCGAACACCGTTAAACACATATAACGTGCCCTGCAACAAAAGACAGCTAACAAAATATGCAGTACTCACAGAAGAAATACGGAACACATTGGTGGGCTTCCTGTCGTCTCGCTTCACTTGATCCCGCTAGAGTTGTCTGCGCGGCTCACTGCAGAAGCGGCACACTCGCACGCCCTATTGTGCACAACTGCACGCAGCATCCAGGCATACTCGTGCTTTACGGGCAGCGTTTAACACTCTACCGCAACGTTCGGCACCGTATTAGACACTTTTAGTTGCGCGTACGGAGAAGCTGCGTACGCTGTGAAAATTACGTTGCGTACGCTGCAAGCGCAGCGTGCGACAACACCTTTAGTTTACCGTACCTTGATGCGTTTTACACAATTAGATAAATCGTATGCGAGATGCAAGGGTTTGGAATGCTTATCAGCGCCACCGACGTTAAAAGTATGCTAGGTCCCAGTACCGTGGTCCCAGTAATAACGTGGCCTCTGTGATCTGCACGAAAAAAATCCTGACTGCCAGGGTAAAGGCCACCAGCGTACAAGTCAGGCCGTGGCGTTCGCTGTGTAGTAGATTTTTAGCATCGTTCCTGGGTGCACTGAAACGCACGTTCACCTTTGCTGTTTTGAGCTTGGGTGCGCAATGTAAGAACGGCGTCTTATCGGCCATGGCCGTTGTGGATTGACCCCAACGTTCTATCTACAGCTGCTGCGTATGAGGCTTAGCGTACACCGCAGGACGTGGTCGCGCTCCAGGTATTCATGTCCTTGCTATGAGCTACCGGCACATTTAAGGAGTGAAAGCTCGCACAACGTCCAAGGCTTGTTATGTTGAAGCATGACTAAAGGTGCGTACCAAGCTGTCGTTTTACTTACGGGTTCATTCGCCGAGAGGCCAGATAGAGAAAGCCGCGTTCCCGCACACAACCTATCGATTTTTGTGGGACGCCAGGCGATTTCTTCTGAATCATCAGGATGCCGGAACACGCCGCTTGAATTTATGTTGTCTGGCATGAAATTATCGCCCTTCATTGTGAAGTAAACCAGCTTTGCATCAGGTCCGCTGCTGCTGTTTCAGGCGTACGCGCGCATCTCAGGAATCGATACGTTACGTACTGCACATGCGCAGTTCTCTCACGTGGCTGTGCTGCGTATACGTGGGCTCGTGACGTACGCCTTACTAAAAGTGTCTATTGTCAGAGATTAAACAAAATCGGGCGTAAAAGCAGTACGGGCCCCAAGATGGCGTCCTGGCGCGGCGCGCTGTCTGGCAACATTGTGTTTCGGCGGGCGGCGGTGCGTCGGCGGCATGAAGTGGGTAAAAGACTGACATCACCCTGAAACGAACGGTCATGTGGTCTCCCTACTCAAAGACAAGCCAGTTGACGCTAAGATGCAGTGCACATTTCTGATAGTAGTGGTTTTTAGCAAGCTACGGAAACACGTTACGGAAAGGCGGCAATACGAAACCGGCTGACGAGTGTGCATGCACGGGCATTGTACGCGCATACGGAAAGGAGCCGTGTCGTATTTCTGTAAGGTGTTTCCGTAGCTTGCTAAAAACCTCTATTGTGCGCAATGCTGTAGGAGGCTGCCTCAGACGCAGCGTACGCCGCGCGCAACACACTGTGAACGTACAGCCTAGCACACCAAGCTCAAATTCTCTATTAGGCAATTTTAATATAGCACACGCAAATCTTTACGTTAGCGTTTGTCACAACTGCGCATGCGTCGTATACGCTAAGCTCTTGCCCCCCACCCCCGACAGAAATAGCAGGCGGCCGCAAGGACAACTATGCACCTTGTCAACAAAGGCTCCCATGTGTCGAAATGACCATACCTGGGCTAACATGCGTGATCTCCATGCACTACCGATGCTGTGACGTCCGCTTTTGTCCACATGAGCGCGCTCTATTCGAAAACTACCTACTGGTCACTGCTTTGCTGCGTGCACACAGGCCTGCTTGAACACGACGTGACACATACTTATACTTATCCAGAGATGCCTAGGCAGAATAATAAATATGCGGTCTCGTATTCCAGGCAAACCCCGCCTGGAACACCATCAACGCGCACTCATTGTTGATCGGAACGACTGACAGCGATGAGTGCAATGGAAGCTGTACCGATTCCTGTGCGCATTTCACGCACTTCGACAACGAAAAGCTTGACTTGCACGCGCCGCTGTGCACCAGCTTTGGGCATACCGTAACGTCATAATCTTGCATATGACGTACGATGTCGAATGCGACAAAGTGCTTGTGCGATTCCTGGTGCCCCAACTTCCTCTTTACACCAATTTTTACTCATCTAAACACATCGGGCTAAATGAGCGCTGTCTCCTACCGCGGTGAACGAAGCAGCATTGCGCCTATGTTCATGGCTTATAGAAGAGCTGGCGTTGGTTCCCGCGTAGAACAAGAGTGTATCAGTGCCCTCAAGCGACTTGCAAGTCTGTATAGCCACTGCCGTGGTATAGCATCCTCTCGTGCTTCCTGGGGGGCAGCTGAGACTAAGGCGGCAGGAAATGCAACAATGCGCGGGGAGGGGGGGGGGGGAGGTAGCTGCAACTATCTGAAGATTCCCTCATATTCGCAGAAGGACGCCTAGTCACGCCAACGGTGACGTCACATATAGACACTCCCCGCACATGTGGCAGCGCTGCACACAACTGCACGGCGAGTCGGGCGATTTTCTCCGGCCATCGCGATTGACAGCTCCCGAGTGACGCGTAGATACTCGCCGTTAACGAGCTCGTTTCTTTTGTTGGGCCAAACCACGGTTTCGTGTCGGGACGTGTGGCTTTTCAGGGCTGCCCACCCAGGCACTGCTGCAGTCATCCGAAAGAAAAAAAAAAGAGATTCCTTGAGTGGGTTTCCGCTCCCTTAGGGACGAGAAAAAAACGAATCGGTCTGCTGTTGTGGGCGCTTCAAAATAGGGTCACTTTCGCTGTTTGAACGCGTCACCACTGAGCGAGTTTCGTGGCTTCCAGTGGTTAATAAAGTAGCTGACTGGGCTTGGTGGTGCATACTTAAAATAAACAGCCAAGAAAAATGCACAAAACAAGCTCTGAATTTCAACTGAAACTTTATTAACACAAAAGCAAATTATATGTATTTGCACGATCAGATAATAAAAAATAACTGGATAAAATATTCAAAGTTAGGAAACCACAGAAAAAAAAAAACATTAGCAATTCTGCTGCACAAACCCCCGGTGGCGGATTCTGTAGAGCTGATAGAGCAATCGATGCTTTGGTGGTCTCTTATATCAGTGCTTGTGTTTTGTGCTTCTTTCAGGGACGATTGTTGTTGTTGAATTAACTTAATTTTTGCCCAGAGAAACCATGCCAGTGTTTTTTTTTTCTCTCACGGTTTATTTTAGGCAGCAATGGTGTCCGTGCAGAACAATTCTTTATTAATTAAATGTACTTAATATGAGTTTATGTGCGGCACCGGCTACTTCTCCTGCATTACAGAGGACAACCACAATACCACAAAAATAGAGGACAACCACAAAACTATCTAAGTAGCCACACTTATCGCACACTTAAACCCTCTGCTTCAATACAAATAAAAGTCCGCCCAACGAAATAGTTCACAACACAGTAAATTCACTCAACCGAAGTGTGCACACGTAATAGAAGAGGTCACCAAGATATTTCACCCATCAGGACACTCACAAGCTGTTTCCCAATATCCGCACTTTAATAAGTTAATGCAAAAATTTGGGCTTGTTGGTGATATGCCTTAAAGGATGAGAAACAAGACAGGCGCTAGGCATAAACTGTAAGTTTACGGACGCAAAACGATCACAATGCACCTACAGGGGCGGTAACAGTTCCTAGGCCACTGTCCCATGTATTTCTATGGCAGCACCACCTGGAAATTTTTAGGGGGCCCCTGCACATGCATACACACGCAACATTTACGAAGAGGTGCACACGGCACGGAACGCAGATAGCTGTAACGTCTCTCCAGATACATTTCTTCCTCGGCCTTCAAAGAGACGCGAACCTTGACCCGCATAGAGGGCGGAGATTCCAATCTGTAACGATACGGGAAAGGTTGCAGTGGGCACCCATGTTTTTAAGAGGCACGAAATTAGAATTGCATGTCGCCACCCGCTGGCCTTATTCCTAAAAGACCGACACAACTCGCCCGTATTGGGTACGCCTCCTCTGATCCGAACTCTGCCCTCGGACTTGTTCAGAACAATTCAACTCGATTCATCTTCCGCAACTGCGACTGAACTGAACTCACTTCGCTTGCTTCATTTTTCCATTCTAGCCTCCCCATTTTTTTCTTTTTTTTTCCCACAACGTTTAGTATAACATCCATACACATAACGAAACCTGCTCTGACTTCTGACTGCATTGACCACAACGTTTTCTCACAGGTCCCACAGTTGTCTTCCACGCACAATATTTCAGCCAGCTTCTCAAAAGCATCACTGCCACTGAAAAACGCAGCACTTTTTTTTTAAACAGCAACGCTAGGTAATATTGTAAATCCTAACTATCGTTGATCCTAACAGCTTTTTCGTGTGCTAGTGGTGATTCTTGCTGGGTTTTGTTTGTACTACAAATTTACTTCTCAGTGGCCTTGATAGTATGAATAAGTGAAAAAAGAATTACCGGTCCGTGTGCGGGAAATCCGAGATTCAAGCCGGTTCGCAGGGTCCAAGGAACTTCCCTTATCGGTTACCGTGAGGCGAGACCAATTACTACGATCCACGACGTGGAACTATCGGGCACGGCCTGCAGCCGGAACGTTGCGTTCGTGCTCTGCAGGCAGTTTATGTAAGACCAGTCGAGAATCAAGGAAGAAAGGAAAATTAAAGGCACATATGATAATAATTGGTGCGGGTCATTTCAAGAGCTGCAGCCGCGTTCACGCTTGTGTAGAGCGCGCAAACGGACTGCATGACTGCTCCAGCTGCGGCGCGACACCTTTCGGCATTTGCGGGCTCCGACTTGGTTTGCCCACGAGCATGCGCAGCCTAACACCTAGACTTGCTGGCCTGCTATACACGAGTGACAGCGTTGAAGGGTTCACTCCAGCTTTCGGTATCTCGATTCCAAAAGATGACGCGTTTCTACTGACAACACACGATGGCGAATGTGATGTGCACTTCTTGTGTCTGTTTTGTGAACGCTGCACAGACCTAAGCATAAATTCCCACCGACTCGCTCAATTTTCCATTCTAACTCGGCGAGTCTGCATGGCGTAGGCCATTGCCACGTGAGAGTGGCGCGTACAAAGGTAGCAGGCTGAATGGTCAGATGAAACTGTTTATTGGGTGACACTTGTGGCCGCGGTAAAGGAAAGTCAGGTTACAGCAAGACACTGACACTGCATGATAGCGGCGAACAGAGCGTCGGCCGTAGATCAACTGACAAGCGATAACGCGCGTCGGCATTTGTACATGTGCCGCCGAATATTACAGCGCAATTGCTACCGACCATGTAAGTTCCAGAGTAATCTGTAATGTTCGTGGTGTGCATCTGTAATCGCATCTGAAAGTTGTACGATTATCTCGATGGTTCTTGGTCATCCGATGTGGTTGCGCAAGGCAGCAATTACACGTGTAATGGAGATATAACAAAAGTTGAGAAAGGAGTGTGCCACCCTTCGCGGATCGACTGGCCAAGTAGTGACCAGTTGTGCAGTATTGACAATCGTCGTGCGTGTAACGCAGTGTTGGATCCAGAGGAGGGGGGAAGGGGGCGATCACCTCCCCCCGCAAAGCATTTGTCGGCACCCCCCTTGTCGTTCACCTCCTGTCACCAATTAGGATACATGAGTAAGACCACTGTGAGCACAAATTAACCGTATTTTTGCTATGATGGTGTTTTTGGCTGCTAAAAACAACCACGCCCCTTCTCTAATGTTACTTGAAGCAACCGCCCCCCCCCCCCTCCCTAAAACCAGTGGCTTAATCCACCCCTGATCTAATTAATTCTGGTGTGGGCGCAGTCCGTGGTGCTCGTATACTTTCGTTCGTATGCCTACCAGTCGAATCTCTTCACGAATAGAACGCGCTGATGAAACATGCTGTGAAATGGTTTTGGGTTTAGACTCACCAACGGAGTCGTTCACTCACCAACGGAGACAGAAAGGCGACCGCGGGTCAGACTGACGGGCGCCGCCGTGGCTGCGTTGACAAAGCGGTAAGTTGCTCGCTGGAACTCATATTCTTTTAGGGGCGAAGCTCCTTATAGCGGCACCAGTTCATCCCTCCTGGCCGTTGTTGTGTGTAACACGTATAACATTTTGACCTCCAAGGTGGTGCCGGTGAGAGATTTTTTCTGTGCGTTGTTGAACAATAAAAAATAATGCTCAATGTACATGCCAATGGCTGCTAATGGGGAATGAGAGACAGGAGCATTTGGCTTTTAGTTAACGCGCACGCTGCGATCCCCATTAGCATGCCATTGGCATGTACATTGGACACTATCTGACAAGAAAGGGTTGCTACGTTATACCCGCTGGGCGTAACCTCCTTGGTTTTAGAAAGGTTTAGCGAGCGTTGAGCCGCAGTGCCATGAATACAATGAACTAGTATATTCCATAAACTCCAGGTGGTTAAAGGTGGGAAGTATAGATACGAAGCGCAAGCCGTAAGAAAGTAGAAGCCGAATTCTCTTGTCTCTCATTTCCTATTAGCAGCCACTGGCATGTACATTGAGCACTATCTGACAGGAAAAGATTGCTACGTTATACTCGCTGGGCGTAACGTTCTAGGTTTTAGAAAGGTATAGCGAGCGTTGGGCCGCAGTGCCATGAATACAGTGAACTAGTATACACCATGAACTCGAGGTGGTTAAAGGTGGGAAGTAGACCCAAGCGCAAGCCGCAAAAAAGTGTGCGTGTGCCACCTCTCGTTTAGTCCTTGGAATGTCCACTGGATGGCGGTGCTTCTATAAGGAGAATATATTATGAAAAGATGCGAGATAGTGGTACTTGGAGTGTTGAATAAATGAACGAACGGACACAAAGACAGATGCGTGGATGGACGCATGAACGGACGCAGGGGCGGATGCATGGACGAACGCTGGGACGGACGCACGAACAGACGCACGAACGGACGGGTGGATGGACGCATGGACGGTCACACAAACGGACGCATGGACGGATGGAAGCAAGAACGAATGAACTGACGAATGCTTCGCCCCACTCTCCATCATTCACTCGTGGATATGCTGCCATTTTTTTTAGCAGTGGCCGCTATAAAAACACACAAAAACAAGACACGCCCTCAACTTTAAGCGGCGTTGTTTTTGTGCACTCGACGATATATCAACACTTGACACGTGCTAGACTGCTCATATGTTCAAGCTCCTTCCGATACAGGCGGAACGCATTTGTTGTGGTTAATACTGCCATATCGCTCCAGAGACTGCTCTTGCCAAGCGTGTCAGTTGGGCTTGCTTGCTTCCTTGATCATGTTTTAGGTCGTACCCACTACAAGAGATTGGCCATTATACCGGCACTTATTTCATAAATTATATATGTGTCGTTTAGCGTCCCCAAACTCCCATATGAATATGAGATTGATTGATATGTGGGGTTTTTAACGTCCCAAAACTATGAATATGAGAGACCCCATAGTGAAGGGATCCGCAAATATCGACCAAGTGCAGTTCTATAACTCTGGCGTTCTTTTGATATTCCGACGATTTCAATAAAACTTTCAACTTGTGTTCTCGTCAATACCGTGGTGATATACGTGCCAAACTATACAACCGTAAGTCGTTTAGTTTTTTTTTTTAAATGAATTTTGAGATTGGTAGCTCATTTTGAAATCGCACTTGTAAACGCGGGTCACCCTGTGTATGTGACGTAAGTCTTTTTCCAGAACCCCGCCTTTCCCAGCTGACGGATGGAGGACGCGCTCTCTTCTACGAGGCGACGAAAACGCGAGCACAGGTCAGTTACAGCACGTTAGTCGTCGTTGACGTCGAGTCGTACAATATTGAGCAACAAGGAGATCGATTCGGGGCGCGTCAGATGCGCTGGCGGGTCGAAATCAAAAATCGGTGCTTCCGCGCTCAGATAGCATCACTGGTAAGTTCACACGAGCTGGCACAGCTTGATTCTGCGTCTGATGGCATCGCTAATTCGCTTTTAACGCGTCAGAAGAGGCACAAGAGTTATGTGTACACCCTATAGTCGGTGGCGGGTTGTAGCGGATCTCGTGACGTCATCGGAGACGGATTTTCGCGACGTAATCCGATACCCCGCATGCAGAACGGAACAGCTCCCTGTTTCAGTTTCTGTTTTGACTGATCGTTCCCTGCTAAATAAAAGTTATTGACGAGTGCCTGTGCATTATGAACTTCGCTAGCTGCTGCAGGAGTGTCAATAGTGATTAAAAAGAGCATTATCACAGCATGGTCGAAAATGCACCGGATTTTCGATTTATGAATGCCAAGATATAAGCACATGAGCCTAGAGGATTTTCGCCTTTATCGAAAATGCAGCCGCTGCAGCCGGGATTCGATCCCGCGACCTGCGGGTCATCAGCCGAGTACCTTGGCATCTAGATTGGTCTTGGGCAGTAACTAGTTACTAGTAACATGTTACCGGTAATTAGTTACTTCCTTCTGTAACTTGTAAGTGTAACTAGGCACTTTTAAGTTAGAGGAACTTGTAAGTGTAACACTGTTACTTTTTTTCGCAGTAACTTTAACGGGGAATAGCGTTACAGCTACTTTCCCATTTCCTCTTCACTTTTCCACAACACCGCTCCCCTCGCAGCTTGGGAGTGGAGGTCGCTAGGACTAAGTTCACGTCCGTTTTTTTTTTCACATATATATCCTGAAATTCGCAACATTTAACGCTAGAACCTTATCTAATGAGACAAGTCTATCTGAACTATCCGAGGAGCTAGAGGGAAATACATGGGATGTAATAGGACTCGGTGAGGTTAGGAGGACAGATGAGGTCTATACAGTGCTACAGAACGGGCACGTCCTTTGCTATTGGGGCTTGGGGAGTGGGGTTTTGCTATCGAGGAGTGTGGTTTATTATCCACAGAAACATAGCTGGCAACGTACAGGAATACTATATCAATAATGAAAGGGTGGTAGGCATCGCAAATAAACTCGATAAGAGATAGAAGATGAAGGTTGTGCAGGCTTATGCACCTACGTCCAGCCATGATGACGCGTCAGTTGAAAGCTTCTATGAAGACGTGGAATCGGCAATGAGTAAGGTAAAAACTCGCAAGTTTTGTAGAGTGTCACGCCACCCCGCGGCCACCGGCGGAATTTTTTCAAAGAGTATCGGTCGGCTCTCCTTGGTGCATTTGCTTTGTGTTGTTCGAGTCGTCATCGCGGCTATAAATCACCTACAGTTAAACGCTTCAAAAGCAATTGCATGTGCTGCGTGCCGCAGTGTACAAACAGAGCATTGACGACAGTCAGCCTCAATTCCTTCCCAAGAGATGAAGCGAGGAAAAAGGAATGGATAGTGAAGTTGAGAATCGGCAAGTCGGTCACATGACTAATGAGAGTGTGCATCCCGCACTTTATAAGCACTGACCACTTCTGCAGCAACGTAGGTAAGAAAACGAGAATATCTCATTTTTGCTTCAGTCGAACCCCAGTTTATGGCCACCGTTACATTTCGCCTCGTCAGATACGCATATGTTTACATCATGGGCTGCACCCAGTATGTCATCACTAGGTCCAGCTCGAGCGGCACAGTTGTAGACAGCGCCGCGGGAATGAGCAGCTTAGGCCATTTCATATGCTTTAGAGAGACGTAACTGTTTGTGGAAGACGCACTAAGCGTCTTGTGAAAGACGCACTCTGATACTCTCTATGGGCGCCATCCCGAATAGGGTGACCCACTGCGCCCCCT